ACCACCGAAAATGATAAACATGTCGTAGGTGAAGTCCCCATTGCGAATTCTATAACTTCCTGGTTGAGTAGCGCCCTCACACAAACCTGACATTTAACCTTATATTAGGTTCTCGCATTTTATGCATACAGTGGCAACATCTGATGTCATATCTCAACAATTAATTATTTCAGTGAAAGTTAACAGTAATTAGATGTTATTTTTGGTGATTTCATTTTGTATTTTTCGAAATCGTTGTAATTAGAACATGGGATTTGACCCCAGGTTATGTCATTGGATATATTTATAGGGCAGTGATGCGCATGCGCGGCATATGGGTTGAATATAATCCTATATACATACCTGAGCACATTAAGTAAACTATTCACATCAATTCTAAAACAACGTCTAACCAACTATATACAGAACAATAAAATAATAATTAAAGAACAAATTGGGTTCATGCCAAAATTTGGAACAAGAGATCACATTCAACCAAAAATATCACAAAATATCTAAACAACAAGAAATACATTTTTGCATGTTTTACTGACTTCAAAAAAACATTTGACTCAGTGTGGCACCCTGGAGTAATGTACAAATTAAGAAAAAATGATATCACAGGAACATTTTATCAAATAATTAATAGTATTTACCAAAATTCATTTGCATGCGTAAAAAAATGGCTTAACAAAAACATTTCCAGTAGAAAGAGGCATAAGGCAGGGGGATGGCCTAAGCCCACTCTTATTTAATATATACATTAATGACATTAAATAACAAATAAACATGGGGGAGAACAACAGCATCTTTGCGAAATAATACATTGCCATGTTTACTATACGCAGATGACTTAATTCTACTATCAGAAAGCAGCTCAGGTTTGCAAAATGCACTAAACGGTCTTCAAATTTACTGCGAAAAATGGAAATTAAGCATTATTATTAAATCAAAAACCATGATATTCAACAAAAATGGCAAACACATTAAAAACCAACATTTTTACATAGATGGTGTAGAATTAGAAAGAGTGTCAACATACACTTATCTTGGAATTAAATTGAAAACAAATGGTAAATTTGACTTGGCTCAAGACAATCTTAAAAATAGAGCTATGAAAGCATGCTTCAAAATGAAAGTTATTTTTTTCAGATAAATATCTACCAATAAAAACATATCTTAAAATGTTTGATACAATGATAAAACAATTCCTTTTATACTGTGCAGAAATCTGGTCAGGTATAATTAAACGCCAAAAGATGTATATGAATATCATGTCACCAATGGAACAATTGCACATGAAATACTGCAAATACCCACTCAAAGTTAACAGCAAAGCGACCAATGTGGCATGTCTTTTAGAATTAGGAAGGTATCCATTAATTACAACAGGGATAAAACAGATGATCAAATACTGGTCTCGAATTAAAAAAATGCCTGAAAATTCTCTGGTATATGAAGCATACAGTCTCGGCTTAGAGCTAGACAACTCTGGCACCGACAAGTGAGTTTCCGGGTTACAACTTATACTTAAAGATCTAGATATTGACCATTTGTGGCAGAAAGAAAAAAGCAAAATACGAACAATATTAATGTAAATATAGATAAAATAATGTCAGAAAAACCAAAAACAAAATTTGAAAGAAATTGTAATTGTAGATTTCAAAAAATGATGACAAAGGGAAAAATCATAAAATAAATTGCGCACTTACAGAGAACTGAAAAAAGACTTTGGCTTTGAAAACTACTTACACGTGCCAAAAATACAAAAGTAATCTAAACATTCACCAACACAAATATGGGAAACAATCCAATTTACTTTACCATTATTTTTTTTCAACTTTTATTTGCTATTTTTTTTTTTATTTTCCTGTGTGTTATTTTATTCTCATTTTAATTGTTTGTCTTTATTCACATCTGTGTTGCATTTTAGTCAAAATCCTAAGAGGGATACGAACGCAACAAAGATAATTATTATTACATGTATTAACAAAACTGACTTTGATTGTTGTGCAGATTAACGGTCACAAAAACGAGACCCAATGAAGCACGGTGTAACTAGGTAAATCCATGGATAACTGGAACGTTACCAAAAAGCCAAAGTTTGTGTTGAACATCGCGACAAGATCAAACAATTCATGCTTGTCGCTGGAAAAAGCGGTTGGGGTGTTGGATTTTTTTATTTTATTTTATTTATTTTTTTATTTTGCTAGCATTTTTTCTTACAACGTATTATTCACTTTTTTGTTCTTTAATGTCTAGCTTCTTTTGTTGTTTCAACAAATTCCACATTCGACAAAATTACACTCTTTTTTACTTTTTAAAATCTAAATTCAGAACAGCAAATATTACCCTATCTCTTTCGTGTATGCACTGTTCAATGCCTCTGTAGAGTAGAATTGTTTAGGTAGGTTTTTTCTCAAAATACGATATTGTAACACTGTACTGCATGTCTTAAGTTTATACTGAGGCAGAATAGGACTGATAGGGTCCCATCGACCGCCGCTATTCTTTGTATGCACGATTTATACATCGCTTTAGTATGTATCAATATCGAACTAATTATAATAAACTTGTCTACTTGTTACGAATGCAAT